CGAGGGTCACTAAGAACAAGCATTGTGTCATAAGGGCTCCTCAACTGTCCATGAAGGTCAATAGAGGAAACTCCTATTGGAGCAGCGATTCCTCCTCATCATCTCATATTCCCTATGATCATCAACGATATAGCTAGATGATGATAGATGATTGATAGATGATAGATGATAGATGATAGATGATAGATGATAGATGATAGATGATAGATGATAGATGATAGATAGATAGATAGGCATGCCATGGTGCTGTAGGACTACTGATACTGGTCCAGAGGAAGGAAGGAAGGAAGGAAGGAAGGAAGGAAGGAAGGGCTGTTCTGTGCAAGCAAGTGTCTAATCTCTCTTGCCCAAGCCAAAATGGACATAGTAGGTAATGTCCAGTGTCCAGATGAGAGGAAACATGCCCACAAAGACTTAAGCAGCCAATAGGAGCTCCCTAAAAGCCTTTCATCACATCATTGGCAGCCTCATCACTGAGGGATTATAGAACCTTCAACAGTAGTATTTGTGTTGAGAAAAGAATGAAAATAACACTTCAACAGCAGAACAACTTAAGTCAGGTTCTGGTTTTAAGGAGACTGCATTCTTGGAGTACTACTTTAAAAATTGTTTAAGGTGTTGAAAAATTGTTGCATATCATTTGACCATTAAAAACCAGAATAGAAAGTTTATAAATAAAATACAATAGCTTTTCTACATGGCAAAAAGAAACTCATACTTTCATCCCATTGAACCCTTTCTTGTTTCCTGTTACTTCCAGCAGTACAAGGTTATGATCCATGTTCAGGTGGGCCACAGTATTTCCCCACAATGCCTTACTTGGAATGATGCTACACCACAAAGCTGTTGTTTAGGAAAAGAAATGAAGCTGGGAATACTAAGTTGTCCCTATGAAGTCCCAGAAGGAAGGTAAGATATAAATCTAACCAACGATGTAGATTTCCAGAAGCATTGTGAATAAAAAGGGAGTGCTCCCACTGGATCAAAGTGCTCTATCTTTCATGAACTTGGCCCTCTCTCATTTCTTCCTACACACAAGAAGTACATTACTTAGAAGCTCCAGATTGCCATCTCTGGTCTATAGTCTGGAAAGCTGACACAACCTTCCATTTTTCTTCTTAGCAGTTGAACCTAAAGCCCAAGAGTCAAAGGGAGCAGAGATAAAGGAAAGGATGATCTGGGATGGGCCACTCTAGGAAATCACTTTTGTATCATAACATGGTAATGAAGAAGAAGAAACCATAAGCAAAGCCTGGTTCAGTTGGAGGCTGTATCCGGAATGAATAGAGCAAGAAAGTAAACATAACTCCCTGATGAGCAAATAGATATTTTGCCTTATCATGTTGAACAGGGACATTTCCATTCTTCCCTGGGAAGGATCCAGTTCTTTTATTAGTTACTTGTCAAGCCAAAATTCAGCAGTTACAGAGCTCTGAGCATCAAATTCTGGGAGCTCAGAAGATGCCCTAAGAGGAGGAGGAAGTGTGGAAAGAAATAAAAAAGTCTGGAATTAAATTAGGCCAAATCCAAGCAAGTTTGTGTCCACGAGGGCGGGGTGAGAGAAGTCAACTATCACAACAAAGTAACTCAAACTCATCCAATTGCTACTCATCCAATTGCTCAAGTGGTTTTAGGGACATAGGAATCTGCCGTATTTCAAGTAGAATTGCTGGTCATTATATACCATAATGTGGTTCATTTGGTTCTGGCTTAAAGACCACTTTAACTTTTAGTTTCTTAGAGAGGAAATGGACTGCCAGTGTTTCAGACAAAGGCTGTCTGTCATTATATACCATAATGTGGTTCATTTGGTTCTGGCTTAAAGACCACTTTAACTTTTAGTTTCTTAGAGAGGAAATGGACTGCCAGTGTTTCAGACAAAGGCTGTCTGTCATTATATACCATAATGTGGTTCATTTGGTTCTGGCTTAAAGACCACTTTAACTTTTAGTTTCTTAGAGAGGAAATGGACTGCCAGTGTTTCAGACAAAGGCTGTCTGTCACAATTTTTATTATGGTTGTAATGGAAGGTTCCAAAGATGAAAATGGGATATTCTATATGAAAAACATATATTCTACTTTTTGCTTATAGATCCTCCTCTATTTTTTTTCACATTAACTGAATGCAAATACATTTGAATGTCAGAGTTTGGGAAAACCCTTTTAATGAATTAGGTATAATGATTGAAACTAATCAAAACACTTCAAAAAAATCAAATGGTGTGGACAGAAAAATATAATTTCTTAAAGGTAAAATCAAAACATCTTTGGGGTTAAAGTACACCTCAGCCCTCCAAATGAGCCACATCCTTAATTCTTTGGGACTCAGATGCTTTCTCAATACAGGATACCAAGATCAATAAAAGAAGTTGGTCAGCTGGATTCCAATAAGACCAGAAAGAAGGAGAGTAACCATGACGTTTCCTTGAAGTGATCATTAAGTACCTGCATCTTTCACCTTCTTGATGGCAGTAATTTGAATCGAGGACTGTCCACCTCTGGATATAGGGTAAAAGAGAGGAACAAGCATTGTTTTGGATGTAGCACAACCTCTACCATAGAAGGGTGTTAGTTTAGTACCTGGAAAAGATCAAAAAGAGGAAAAGTAGCTTCAAGTAATTGCTGCTAATACAACAGAAAAGGTAGACACTCTTCAACTCTTAGTAACTCTGTGGACAAATTGACGTATTTTTTAGAGCAACACAAGAGAAGGGGTTTCCCATCACCTTCTGCCAAGAGCTGTTTCTGGCTTTCCAGCTGAGCTCATCCAAAGGCTAGCCAGGTCCAACCTTGCTGAGCTTTTAAGGAACATGTACATGCTCATGTGTGTGTTTGTGTGTGTACAGACATATGCACACACACACGTTTGGATCTACTCCCAAATGGTGGAATATGGCAGGATATATGATTAGCCCAGTGCAATCACTAAGAGGTTCTTGTCATACAAGGGACTGTCTGCAATTAAGTCCTCATATTACTAGGTGCTTGCAAAGAACTACAGCCAAGACAAAATTTGCAGCTGAGCTGCACAAATTCAGAAAATTAATTTTGTCTGCCAGCCAGGACTAAATATGTTACGTGAACCTAGCCAGATACTTCCTCACCCCAAGTATTTTGGTTTCAGTTTTACCGTCAACAAAGATCCCAGTAATGTTCACGCATTGGTTCTCTGATTCAGGACATTTTATCAATGTGGGCTCGCAGAATATGGAATCCTCAGCAAAGCATCCAGGGCACACCAAATTGCTGGATGGCAGTTCTCCGCTAGGTACTGTGGAGAAAGACAGGCATGAGAAATAGCTGAATCAGCAGTCTTGTAATTAAAAAGCTACATTCTTTCCAACAACAAGGAACATTTCCCTGGATATCGAAATGGCCTCTCCTCCTGGGTTTTAGGAAGTCCATTCAAAGAAATAGGCCTTGGGGGCTGGAACGGTGTGATCTGCTCCCTCTAGCAGTAGGAGTTGTCTTTGGGTTTCGTGCATGAAATTTCCCCTGCTGTATGTTTCTACGTATTGCTATTTTTATACCTTGTGCTTCCTGCTGTTTATGTAATGCGTATTGTCTGTCTCACGAAGAGGGAAGTCCAAGAGTAATGGATTAATTGGCAGTTCAATTCAAGAGAAAAAGCTTCTTCTGGAGGACTTTAGAAACTCGGGTCTATAAGTTCTCGTTATTGTCTTCCAAACATTCCTAATGCCCAATTTAGCCTTGTTGGATGGAGCTTCCCTCTGAATTCTGAGGCTGACTTTGCTTTTGGGCTTCTGGCTTTGTGTGATGCTTCGTCTCCTTCTTAAGCCTTCTGTAAGAGTTTTTCTCTGACTGGTAACTCTATAGGGAATCACTGGGTTTTCCTACTCCTGACTTGGTTCATCATTCAAACAAACCCTAAACAAGGTCCAGGTTTCCAGCCAAATGTTGAAAGTACAGATCAGTATTAGAAATTTTCTGTCCAGCTTTTGGCATTACACTTAACCAGGTCAGTGGTGGAGACGGTATGATGTGTGATCTTGTTCATCTGGGTCTGAAGAAAGATGGGAATCCAAAACAGTGTGCGTGTGTGTATGTGGGGGTGGGTGGGGGTGGGGGTGTAACAGCAAATTGAACTTTCCTTTCTGGTCTATTGTGTTGTGTGAATGAAAAAACCCATTCAGTAAAAAAAAATGTGATGGTGTGGTAGTCTGGCTGAAAAAGCTCCTTGACAGAACTGACAGCCATGTTTTGGTAACCAAAGGTGTAAGACCAAGGCCCTGAAGTTTTCAATACGATACCCATGGATTGCCAGAATGCTGGCCCCACCTGAGTTTTTTAAATATGATCTTTAATTTTAACACCTTAAATAGTAACCAAACCTTTCCCACCCCTACCTCAGGGGGTGTCTTTTATTTCCTCTTCATTAAGAAGGATGCCTCTGGGTCCTACTTCTTGAAAAATAAAAATACTGAATGACCACAGCCGGGTGCTTAGTTTGGAAGCTAAGAAAAAGCAAAC